TTATACATGAGATCATATTATACATGAGGTCGTATTATACATGAAATCATATTGTACACTAATAAATACAGTAGTTTTTTGCAGACGGTGAACCTCTGCCCAGCTTTACTTCTGGACATTTTGCCTCTCTAGAATGCTCTACCACATACCCAGTCCTCTTACTGACTTGTTACCAGTACACCTAATTAGTTGCAAAACAGCCTCATTTTTTCCCCTTTTTCTATAAATGGTAAGTTTTCCTCATTTAAACATTTGATAAGTTTAATATGTTCCACATGAAAAAAAGATGGGGTTCATGAGACTTTCCACTCATTTCCTACTGTTTTTATTCAGTTTTACACAACATCCCAACTTATTCAGACTTTGGGATGGAAGATAAAATCATTTCTATTCTTTGCCTGCTTGCCTCTCTCCCATGACCCCTGAACCAAGGCTGGAATCATGTTCAGTTGGTGGGGTCAAACCTGGATCTGCGTATGGTGTCGTGGAAAAAGCGAGTGGAGGTCATCCCCTATCGGCTCAGCACAGACACAGAGGCGAGCACAGACGAGAGTCCCCGCCCCAGCTACGCCAAAACACCCCTGCCAGGTGAAGACTGCTTCATCAGATCGGCTGATTAGAAATAGGCAGCTCGCATGTCAGCTGTAATGCACGGCCAGTCCTGCTCCCAAACTTCAGTCCTCATCCTCTTGACTCTGGTTGGCGCTTCGCTCATTTCTGGGCTGCCATTTTGGAGCCCTGGCATCAACGAATCCAGYCCCAGTTGATGATCATTATCATTTGCCTCTGTCTTTTCTCTCTTCATCCCAATAGAGAGGCAGTGATCTGGACACAGCTTTTCTGTTGTGTGTGAACAAAAATAGACCTGAGCTTTTCTTTGCCAAGTTTTCACGYTGAAAGGTTGTGTTGACAAAGAATAAGTGTAAAATGTAAGACTTAAATGTTGTCTAAAGAAAATTTAGTGTGTTTCTTTTGCTAAGGAAGTTCTCTTTTTTATTTCACCAAAGCTTTTATCACATAAAACCTGAAAGGCTCTTTTGACAGAATGCATTCGACAACAAATYTTAGTTTGTTTTGCAGATGATGTGATGTTGGATCTGTTAGATGCAGACAGCCAACTGCACACTCACTTCTGTTTGGTTTGAGGCCTTCTGCAAAAACATTAAAATAAAAATAAAATAAAAAAGYTTCCCATCCRAGKGTTAGRTTTTATGCTATATGTGGCCYAAAAGGAGTATWACTAAAACAAMCACAGGACTTATTGTTTTCTTTAATYTACAAGACACTGCTGCTCAGACAATATTTGCTTGCTGGTCAGAAAGAGTTAAATATGTATCGCCAGATTTTTATATATTTTTTCTCATAATATTGCTTTGTAGAATGRTGAGGCAACAGAAAACTCTCAGCTTTAATACTCAAATTGCAGGTGGCAAAGCTTATAAAAAATAATTTATTGTCAGTACATGGCAAACGTGCTAGGTTTCTGCTGTTACTTGTGTATTGGCGTAAGGCAAAATCAGGTCTGAAGCAGGTAATGTTCATTATAACTGTAGGCAGCAGAAAAATCTAATTTTCTGCAAAACTGCAGCGTGAAAGCTTCATTCTTGAACCAATTTCTTGGAATTTGCTGAAGAAGCTGAAAGTGGGTTGTAGCTAAAAGAAGCCAAAAACTGTCAAAAAGCCAAATGCTAAAAGTAGCAAAATACTAGCTAAAAGCTAAAAGTAACAAAAGGGCTAAATGAAGCAACACCCTTGCTAAATTTAGCAAGACTAGTTAAAAGCAGCAAAAAGCTAGCTAAAAGCTTAAAGCAGCTGAATGGTAGCTAAAAACTAATAGCAATATATAACTCAGAACAGGGTTTTTGGAAACATGAAAAGATTTCATTGTACGTCAATAAGGAATTGTTTTTTTAAGTCACAAAAACCAAATGTCATCACTCCTCTCCTGAAGAAGATATTGGTTTGACTAAAATAAGAATCTATGCAGATGCAGTCAGGTAGAAAAATGCACCTGCTTCGGATGTTATCATCCATTAAATGGACATGAGCCAAAATCAGTCCCATAGAATGGCTTCAGATTGTCAGCTGGTTAATATGAGGCATAAAACCACTTAAGTTTTTTATGCAATCTGGTTAATATGAGGCATAAAYCCACTTAAGTTTTTTATGCAATCTGGTTAATATGAGGCATAAAACCACTTAAGTTTTTTATACAATCTGGTTAATATGAGGCATGAAACCACTTAAGTTTTTTATACAATCTGGTTAATATGAGGCATGAAACCACTTAAGTTTTTTATACAATCTGGTTATTATGAGGCATAAAACCACTTGTTTTTTATGCAATCTGGTTAATATGAGGCATAAAACCACTTAAGGTTTTTTATACAATCTGGTTAATATGAGGCATAAAACCACTTAAGTTTTTTATGCACTCTGGTTAATATAAGGCATAAAACCACTTAAGTTTTTATGCAATCTGGTTAATATGTGGCTTAAACCACTAAGGTTAATTCTAGAGAAAATGACATGGGCTATGATAAAGTAGACCTGACTCCGGTGGTAGCAGATTGTTGCATTCCAACGTATATGGCACTGATAACCCACTAGGGGGCACTGTCGGGACAGTCTGAAGGCATTCTATGGGACTGATAACCACTAATAAAGTCAATTTAATGGACTGATAACATCCGAACCGGCTGGAAAAATAAAACACACAAAAAGTAAAACCAGTAGTGTGAGTGCTTCAATAGCATGATCACAATAAACAAAAGCTAACTCAAGCTGAAAAAGTTTCTCATTGTTGTGTCTCACAGATTACATGATGAATGGGAAGTGGGAGCAGAACTTRCTTTTCCCTGGAGGGTCATCGACACGGAACATGTCATCTTCATCCTCTCCGATGTCCACTTTGAGCTCCAACTACAGAGGAGCAGGAGGTTCCTTCACCACAGAGACTCACACTACCTACATGTCTGGAGCTGGTAAGAACTGTGCTGTCTAAAGGTTTCACAGAAAAACCAGGGTCTACCATGCCTTGTGTTTGTGTAGGGGGCACTCGGAGGCAGGAGTTGATTGAAGGAGGACTGCACACGACTGACGTCATCATGAGGAAGCGATCAGAGAACAGAGGTTACACAGATGAACATATCCGTGACTCTATTGTGATGGGAGATCTGTCCAGCAACTTCTCAGATCTTAGTAAGTTTCCATTAGGGCCTGCCTGCAGTTCTACYTTTTTTGGACCAGAAGACATATTTAACTTTGGAGTGTAACATTTATGGCACCATTACAAGTAAACTGTACAAGTGCATGAAACTGATGGCTTGGACTTTTGTTAGTAGGATTGGGGCTGTTGGCTGCACAACAGGCTTATCCARACAGACTCTGCAGGAGCTATGCTGACTATCGCTCTGTATCCCACCCCATCCCTCGTATTCTTTACACTTGTTTTATGTTGTTTACTTCAATCTTTTCTTGCCCCCTCTATCCTATTTTGCCCTGTCTACTTTTCTGCCTCCTCTTTGCTTAAAGCGCCATCCGGTGGCTTCAGCTATTCCGGGCTTCAGAGCAGCTCTCACAGCCAGTTCAGCTACAGCCTGTCTCAGGGGTCCAGAACCAGGAGTCCGTCCTCTGACGTGAACGAAGCCCTGTACAGTCTGGACAGAGTGCTCCAGGGTGAGTCTGCAGCTTACAGGCATGAAGGCACGGCATGCAGTCGTTGGCTTGGTTTTGTAAGACACATCCCCTTCATCCTTGCTTCTCTAAAACTCTGACACCWAAATGTTTAGGARTGATTTAGCTACTATTAATGCTGTTTTAGTGTGGTGTATGTACAAAAGCTGTGGAATGTAGGGGTGCCATGGGTGCTGCAGCACCCTTCAATAGATGTCAGAGGATGTACAGTACATGCAGTTTTATTGATATCTATCTGYCAGACAAACATGTCAACCCATTCAGATCCACCTGTTTAACAGCTGCCAATCAACCATTGCTGACCAATGGGAAGGTTTGAAGTTTGTTTCTAAATAAATTGGACTCCATCATTCTCCATTTGTCACAAGATGACAGCTGTCAAACTTCACTATGGGCTGCTGTTTGTAAAGTTACACAGTCAAAAATTACCACCAATATTTTTGTTTTATTTAACCTTTTATAAGAAAAAAAGAACAGATTTATTTTTCAAAGTCAGTTT